TGGCAGGAGGTCAGGCTAGATGATCTGTTCAGGTCCCTCCTGACCCTAGCTACTATGAAACTATGATACAGGCAGTTTATAGGCATTATACAATGGGTATCTAACATGACGTGTGTTGACCTGTACTTTTTCTGTATAAAACATTTAATACTTCCAGTCTGCTTCAAGTGTATTACTTCAGTTTATTTGTTTACACTTTGGAAATGCTTCAAAATGAAAATTGAAGCCAGAGATCTCTTCCTCATGTTATTCACAATCTCTTAAAGGACAGGAAAATGTGACTTTTTTTTTTTAAGGATTATACAAACTGTGTCTAAGGTATGCTCTTGAAAGGGATCATTTTCCCACTGAAGTCAAAGCAACTCCTAAAACATACAAGGAAAATGGGGCTTAGGACAAATCATGTTAAGATATGTGTTTTACCTCTTCCAAATCAATTATTCAAGGGTGTCACTTTTTTTCCTTCCTTGTAAGCATTTAATAATAAGAGCCCTTTCTTATGCATGGATTTGAACTGAGCTTTCCTTTTCTGTTTCATGTAGCTTGTGAATTAGAGCAGAGATGTTTGTATGATGTATATCAGGAAGGAGGGGAGCAACCTTTTAGGAAAGGAAAGGTGCAAATTAGCCCTGCACCTTTCCAGAGTGCCACTGATCCCATTTCTTTGCCTCATCTGCTGCTCTTTGTGCTCCTACTCCGTTCTCCCTGCACACAGGTTGGCCACCCCAAAGTATAGTGCCTAACAGTGTTGCTGTGGTCTTGGTTGGAGGATTTCACAGATTTCCATAGATTTCATAGACATCAGGGCTGGAAGGGACCTCGGAAGATCATGGAGTCCAGCCCCCCGCCCAAAGGGCAGGAAGTCAGCTGGGGTCATAGGATCCCAGCAAGATAAGCATCCAGTTTGCTCTTGAAGGTGTTCAATGTAGGCGCTTGAACCACCTCCGGTGGCAGGCTGTTCCAGACCTTGGGGGCTCGGACAGTAAAGAAATTCTTCCTTATGTCCAGCCTGAAACGATCTTGAAGTAGTTTATGACCGTTGGACCTAGTCGTCATCCCTTGGGGCGCTCTGGTGAACAGACAATCCCCCAGATACTGGTGGTCACCCCTGATAAACTTATAGGTGGCCATCAGATCACCCGAGCCTGTGCTTTTCCAGGCTAAAGAGCCCCAGGGCTCTCAGCCTGTCATCGTAGGGTCTGCTTCCCTGACCTCTGATCATGCGCGTGGCTCTTCTCTGGACTCTCTCAAGCTTCTCCACATCCTTTTTGAATTGTGGAGCCCAAAACTGGACGCAGTACTCCAGCTGCGGCCTCACTAAGGCCGAGTACAAGGGGAGAATGACGTCCTGGGATTTGCTTGAGAAGCATCTATGGATGCAAGCCAG